TTTAGGACTCTGTACCACCTGACCTTAGAGACACAAGTCATCTTTAAAGAAAAAAATCTAACTTTCCATTTGAGGTGATGAAAAGGTTGAGGAGTTTCTGAAAGGCAGAAAAAACTACCTTTTGGATACAGTTTTAATTCCTCACAAGTTGGAATGGATGCCTAAGTGTATAGGTTGTTTACCACAGTCTGATAGGAGGAAACTAGCAAATTGAAATGATATAATTTTTAAATTAGAAAAATTATTTAGTATACACATGCAAGGATCAAAAATTTTAAGTACAGAAGAGAATACAGTGAATACAGCAGCATTACTCATGACAGCTACACAAGAAACAATCCAAATGTCCATTGATGGTAGAATGGAGAAATAAATTATAATGTATGTATACAATGAAATATTATATGAGAATAAATGAAGTACTGTTACACACAATATGAGTGAATCTTATAAGCCATACTCAAATGAGTACATACTGTATTACACTTACATATGGCTTAGAGATTTTTCACAATAATATATCGCTTCTTCATTCTTTTTTGTAGCCATATAAAATTTACTCAGTTGCATGAATATACACTAACTTACGTATCCAGTTCTTACTATAAGGATTTAGGATTTTCCTAAACACTTACTGAGTTAATTTAAATGACTTTGTATGCCTAGTGCGTACACCTGGTATGCTGAAGAAAACTGAAGAGCTCAGGATGCTTCAGGCAAGGTTAAGTTCAAACTCTTGTTCAGTCACTCATTCATGTCTGACTCTTTGTGACCCCATGGACTGCAGCACACCAGGCTTCCCTGTCCTTCACCATCTCCTGGAGTTTCCCCAAACTCATGTCCATTAAGTTGGTGATGCCAATCAATCATCTCATATTCTGTTGTCCCCTTCTCTGCCTGTCTTCAATCTTTCCCATCATTAGGGTCTTTTCCAATGAGTTGGCTCTTCAAATAATACACCAAAGTATTGGAGCATCAGCTTCAGCAACAATCCTTCCAATGAATATTCAGGGTTGATTTCCTTTAGGATTGACTGGTTTGGTCTACTTGCTGTCCAAGGGACTCTCAAAAGTCCTCCAGCACCACAATTCGAAGGCATCAATTCTTTGGCACTCAGCCTTCTTTATGGTCCAGCTCTCACATTCATACATGACTACTGGAAAAACCATAGCTTTGACTATACAAATCTTTAGAGGCACAGTAATGTCTCTGCTTTTCAAGACGCTGTCTATATTTGTCATTGTTTTTCTTCCAAGGAGCACTTGGCTTTCTTCCAAGCCACTTCCAAGTGGCTTTTAATTTTACGGCTACAGTCACTATCTGCAGTGATTTTGGAGTCCACTGTTTCCACTGCTTCCCCATCTATTTGCCATGAAGTGATGGGACCAGATGCCATGATCTGAATGTTGAGTTTTAAGCTAGCCTTTTCACTCTCCTCTTTCACCTTTATCAAGATGCTCTTTAATCTCTTTAATTCTTCTTCACTTTCTGCCATAAGGGTGCCGTCATCTGTATATCTGAGGTTATTGATATTTCTCCCCTCAATCCTGATTCCAGCTTATGATTCATTCAGCCAGGCATTTCACATGATGTACTCTGTACATAAGTTAAATAAGCAGGTTGATAATAGATAGCCTTAACATACTCCTTTCCCAATTTTGAACCGATCTGTTTTTCCATGTCTGGTTCTAACTGTTGCTTCTTGACCTGCATATAGGTTTCTCAAGAGACAGGTATAGTGGTCTTGTATTTCCATTTCTTTAAGAATTTTCCAGTTTGCTGTGATCTACACAGTCAAACACTTTAGTGCAGTCAATGAGGCAGAAGTAAGATGTTTTTCTGGAATTCGCTTGCTTTTTCTATGATCCAATGGATGTTGGCAATTTGATCTCTGATTCTTCTGCCTTTTCTAAATCCAGCTTGTACATCTGGAATTTCTTGGTTCACAAACTGTTGAAGCCAAGCTTAAAGGATTTTGAGCATTACTTTTCTAGTATGTGAAATGAGTGCAATTCTGTGGTAGTTTGAACATTCTTTGGCACTGACCTTCTTCGGACTGGAATGAAAAATGACCTTTTCCAGTCCTGTGGTCACTGCTGACTTTTCCAAATTTGCTGGCATATTGAGTGCAGCACTTTAACAGCATCATCTTTGAGGATTTGAAATAATCCAGCTGGAATTCCATCACCTCCACTATCTTTGTAGTGATGCTTCCAAAGGCCCACTTGACTTCACACTTCAGGATGTCTGGCTCTAGGTGAGTAATCACACCATTGTGGTTATCCAGGTCATTAAGATATTTTTTGTTCAAACTCCAGCTGTTAGTATATTAATATAGGAAAAGTCCATGGGAAGCTGGGACATAGTTTTAAGAGGAACTGTGGGAAAAAAACAGATTTATCTACAAAACTGAGGTCACAAGTGCTCTCCCTGCCAACCCCTCAAGAAACAAAACAGCATTTTACTGTATTATTTTTGCATTTCAGTATTCATTGGCCACTGATATTATTCTAGATATATTAAAATGGTATATTCAAAAGGGTAAAAACAATTTATAAGGGCCTAGTTATAAACCTCATTTTATAGCTCACACAGTATAATTAAGAAGTTATATTCTGGGACTTCCCTGGTGGTCCAGTGGTAAAGAATTCACTTGCCAATGCAGAGGACACAAGTTGAATCCCTGGTCCAGGAAGACCCCACATGCTGTGGAGCAACTAAGCCCGTGCGCCACAACTACTGAAGCCCCCGCACCTAGAGCTTCTGCTCCCCGAGAGAAATCCCCACAGTGAGAATCCCATGCACCGCAACTCTAGAGCAGTCCCTGCTCAACGCAACTAGGGAAAGCCCACAGGCAGCAACGAAGACCCAGCGCAGCGAAAAATAAACCAAAAATTTCAAAAAGATTATTTAAAAAAAGAAGTTATATTCCACCGAATCCCCTGAACTGAATCTAAATCACAAAGCTGAAAGTATAAATATGTTGAAGATTATATTCTACACTAGCATTGAAGTCAAAAGGAATCACCCACACTACCTATCTTGGTGAAATCCAGGTAGAGTCACAATTCTCTGATATCATGGTCTTTACATCCATGGAAAAGACCAAAAATCATGCTCAGGAGCCATTCTTTGCATTATTTCCATTCTTATTCTCTTCCAACAATCCCTTCTCACCACACACCAACTGGTGTATCAAGAAACTGACAAAAGCAACAAGCCATCTACTGAGCCATTTGACTCCAGTAAACTAGACAGAAAAAAAAAAAAAAATAGCACCACTTCCAAAAAAAAGTTTACTTAGCAAAATACATTATAGTTGAGAAAAAGTTATGTTAACTCAATCATCTAAACCTTATTTAGTCAGTGGGTTCACAAAGTATAAATGCTGCTGTTATACATTCTGGCCAAGGCTAAGTTTTTTTCAAGTGTTCTGCAAAGTCTAAGGTGAGTCTAAGACCATTACTTGCCAATTCCTCTTTATCAGCAATCCAATACTAGTGACTGATTCCACTGATGGGCAAACCCCTAAGTGGCTCAATGATAAAAGAAAATAAGGCTTAGCAGATTCCCTTGAGCTATTTCCTAATGCATTACTGATGTCCCTACCTTATTGGAAAAGTCTCTAGCTAACTCTTGGGTTATGGACTTATCACAGTGATAGTTTGCAAAAATGACAGAATAATTTAATTCTATAGAACTCAAGAAACCCTATTTTAAAAGTTCTGTGTATTGAATAAAACTGTATATGTTCCCTGAAACTACTTTTCAAAGTAACTAGAATCTTAAACTATGTTTATGTATGTGAAGTCGCTCAGTCGTGTCCGACTCTTTGCGACCCCATGGACTGTAGCCTACCAGGCTCCTCCACCCGTCCATGGGATTTTCCAGGCAAGAGTACTGAAGTGGGTTGCCATTTAAAAAAAAAATAATGTATTTTACCATAAACTTGCCTTTTTGACTAAAAACAATACTGGGAGCTATATACACAACCTAAAGGTATAGGTCTAAAGTGGAGAACTGATCAAATTTGACAGGTAAGGGACCTTACTTTTCTTTCCTTCACCCATTAAAGCAAAAATGCCTTAGGCACTCAAACTTATAGCCCTAATAATAGTTTATGATCAAAACCTCAGAAGAGCAATGAGAATTTTTTTTTGAGAATTTTTTAAGAAAAAAAATGTTAGTAAGTTTTTTCAAATATCAAAGATAGCTGCTATATAAACAAACAGATTAACTAAAATAAGCATCTGATGTCTTCACTGATTCCACCAAGCATTTATGACTTGCATTAACCATGAAAACTTACACAAGGCTTTGCACGTGATTCAACTCTGGACACAGAACTCACTGAGCTACATGAGTGTCCTAAAATACCCATTTCACCACGTAAGCTCTGCAAAGGCTTAAAACAAGCACAGCCTGTGGGTTAACACTGTTGAATTTGGAGCTAAGTTTTATTGTCTCCACCAAGTTCAGCCAGCCATAGAGCAACAAATCAAAGTTCCAACAAGCACGGTGCACCTGCAAGACTTAGGTATGCACCAAGTTAAATATTTGCAATTTTTTCATCTCAAATTGGCACAAATTAAAGTATGCAGATCGCAGCACCAGACTTCTAAATCCTGTAAGCCAAAATGATCAGGAGTTTCACTCCCACATCACTCCTGTCCTACTATTGAGTCCTTAATGTGTATATGTGCCTGTGTTCCAGAAGTTCATATGTTTTATCTCTAATATCATAACAAACCCCATTCTTCTGATGAGGAAACTGAGGCTAGAGAGAGGTCAAGGTGACTAGTCCAATGCTGTAAAGGCAGCAGAGCTTTATTCAAATCTAGTTCTGCCTGGCTCCAAAGAACCATCTCCCTGATCCTCCCTCAGCGAAAGTCACTAACTCCAACACCAACTAACTTTTATTAAAATAAATTCTGCTTATCAAGATCATTTTATCAAAATGCTGTCTGAAATGATGACAATAGATGAGAAAAACATCATACCTAAAACAGTAGCATAAGACTCAGGAATTCCTGGCGAGGAAATGCAGTCACCTCCTTTAGTTCCAAAGGCTACGATTCAAAATACGAGAGAATCCAGTTGAGTTCTTTTTTGCTCTGGTTGTCTCTCAACTGACTTTTTAGAACAAGGGAAATGAAACTCAAGAGTATATTCACATTTTGGTGAAATTTTCTCAAACTCTTGAGAAAAGGGTGATTTGTTTTTAAACAGTTCACTTTTACAAGTCTGCTTCTTCGAAAGGTTTCAGACATTCAAAAACAAAATCACATCAGCAGCATTACTAATCAACTTTTTTCTACAGACTTGAAAAGTATTTTCTTACCACACTACAAGATTACTTCCCATACTGAGAGCAGAAATGGAAACAGCTCTGGGTGTCACGCATCAGATCTTGAGGCCACAGTTGCAGAAAGTAGGTGCTGTTTCCCTTGAGTAGAAGCTGCTGATTTGAAACCTCCTAAGGGAAGGGTGTCTGAAGAAGAGCCTTGAAAAAACTACAGCAAGCTGTTTGTGTTAATGAGAGTGAGCTGCCGGCACCACTACTCCGGGTTTCACTGCTATGCAATTGTTTTCCAGCTTCCAAGCTCTGAATTTGGCAAAGAGAATGCTGTTCTCACAGCCATATGAGTTATATGATCAGCTGCTTTGTGGTGTGTGGGTGTTTACCTACGTAAGTGACTGGTTAGAAGAGGTTCTGTGATGTTAAATCAAGGAAGCACACTGTCCCCTGAGATTTTAATGATTTGTCATATACTACAGAGAAAGAAAAGTAACATATTTGCAATTGTGAAATTCCTTGGGCTTACAATAGGCAAATAATTTCTGACAGTAAAACTTTAGGCATGACATGAAAAAATATATATAACCTGCAATATATGCCACCTCAATCATGTTTATTAGATAATAAAAATGCAGTATTTGCAATCTCAGCATGCTTTCAAATTTCATAAGATATACTGCGTAATTACTAGAATAAACGCTATCCTTCAGGTAAATGAAACAGGTTTTATGCAAGAGTCCAAGGCTCCCTTGCCATCCAAAATGCTGTTAATACCATAAATTCCTTAGCCTCTCAGAAACTCCAAAATACCAAAAATATGAAAGTCCTAAAGGATTTTGTAAGCGAAAAATATTATCAGAATTACAAGCTCCTGGAGAGCTGGGGACCTGTTTCTTTTATCTCACTGTCCATCATAACACTATCACACACTGTCTCCTGACTGAGATATGGTCAAAAGGCAAAGGCTGAGGGCAGGGTGATTTAAACAAGAATAGTTGATATTTATGCCGTGCTTATTGTAGAATGGTGCAACATTCATACCTAGTTCTAGATTTTAAACATGGAGACTGAATTTCCTTATTATAATTAAAGTCCTTCCATTAAAACAAAATTTAAAAATGGATGATTCTGATGGTAATATCACCCTGAAAAAAAGACATGAAATCACATTTAATAAAGCTGAAAAATCTTCACAGAGCAGGTACTCTACCATGGGAAAGATAAGGCCTTCTTTTAAGAGATCAGATCAGCCTCAAACAACACAAAATGATTCCAGATAGGCATCAGAAAACAGACCATTGATTCTGCTGTTGAAATCTGCTACATTTAGAAGATAGTGCCAGGCACATTTAGACACATTTAGACAAGTTACTTTGACTCCAGTTTTAACTTTTTCTGAAATTCTCACATACATTTCTTTACTGAAAGACAGGGAAATGATACCGTACAAATACCTAACTCACTGTAATTAAAGAACAAAACACAAGGGTGCATATTTCATCTAGTTTGTTGCTTACTACTCAGGACCAAAGTAATGCCAATCCTCAAGAAAGAAAGAAAGCAAAACACAAAACTCAAAGAAGTCCTTTCAATACAGATTTTAACCTCGGGGCCCAGGACCAGGCTCAAGATGACAGTAACGGCATACAAAATTATGAGTGTCTATTTCCCCTGGAAGAGGGTCCTAAAGGCTTCCATGAATCCAAAGAGAGGTTAGGAACCACTAAAACAGACATTTTCAGAATCCCGAAAACGCAGCAGTGTACATTTTCAACAAAATTATACTAAAGGCAGTATCTATCTGAATATATGTGCACAGTCCTGATAAAAACATCCCAGATGCCTGCCAGCCCTATCACAGTACAGCTCACCACTCTCAAATCAGCCCTACATGGGAACACAACCAGCATTCAGGGCACACACTCTCACACGCCAGCCACAGCAGCTCTTCATTCCCTAAGCACACACATGTTGTCAACAAAGCATGTGCTATTTGCCATTCCCAGAACAATACGGACCATGCCATCTCTGGAAAAGAAAACAAACACATTCGTCCCAAAATATTACCCTATATATTTACTATGCCTTGACCACAGATGTTAAACATTACAACAAAACAAACGAAATTTTTAAAAAAATGAAATTCCCACACGCCATAGGTAATTAACTGGGGGAAAAAAACCCATCACTCAGGTATTACCGGGGATCCACGGGAGATGTAATGTATACAGGGGAAACACTGGAAAGATGATACTTGAACACAGAGGCAACCTGAGGACAATCAAAGACAGACTCACACGGCAACATCCTGAGAACATGGTTGTGGAAAGCACCCTTCTCCAAAGGCAAAAGCACATTCCTTTGATTGGCACAAGCCATTCCTGACAATGGATCCGCGATGACAGGGACTGTTTAGCAATCAGGAAGTGTGTGTGTGTGTGTGTGTGTGTGTGTGCGCGCTTGTGTGTGTGTGTGCGCGCGCGCGCGTGTTGTGGGGGAGGGATGTGCTAGATGTGATCAAAGACTGGCCCTCTTCAAGAAGGGCAGACGGGATCTTAAATCGTGAAGACAGTGTTCCAGGGTGAAGCAGGGGTATTTTTCATTTCTGGCGGAGACATTCTTCGACAATGAACATGTTCTGTGCAGATGTAACGGGGGTGTCACTACCTTTAGTGGCTCCCATCTAAAAATCTTAAGCAGAGCCTGATTGGAGGGGAGGCTGTGGTGGGGGTGGAGAAAGGTCTGTATTACCCTCTGGGTGAGTATTGGGCGGGTGTACACTTAGATGCATTTTTATCTCAGGCGGCACAATACTCCCGGGGGTTGGTGGTTTGGGCGCAGCCGCAGGGCAGGGGAGGCAGTGGGTGCAAGCCACCAGCAGCGGAGCAGGAGAATGCTGGAAGGAGGACCGGTGCAAACCTTCCCTCGGCCCGCTACCCCGTGCAACCCCAGCTTCCCCTCGGGCCTCTGGGCGAGCGCACTCTGCAAAACTGGAGCCCAGCCCGGGTCCGAGAAAGAGGGGGCGAAGGGACAGAAGCGGGCGCCTCCAGCCAGGCTCGGGGCCAGAAGAGCTCAGCGCCCGGGGCCTCCTCGCCGGATGGGGGCTGCTCCGGCCTAGTGCACGCAGCTGCCTCGGCGAAGGGTTAACCCGGCGCCCAGAGCCCCTGTCGGCTCGGCGGGCGGCGGAGAGGAAGGGCTGCTGCCAGGGGCGCAGCCGCGACTGTGTCGTGTGCGTGGGGGGCAGGGGCCCCTACTCACCCTGGCCGGCCGCCTCCGCCTCCGCCGCCCCGACCGCCGCCTCGGCGGTCCATCCCTGCGGCGGGGGGCCTGTAGCCGCGGCGCTCGAGTAACAACCGCCGGCCGGGCCGGCCCCTCCCCCCTGCCCAACGTCTGTCCTCAGGGCCGCTCCGCAGACCCGGCCTCGGCCGCCGCCGCCGCCGCAGCGCTACGTGGCCGCCGCTCCGACGTCTCGCGACTCCCTTCCGAGCGCGCGAGGGCGAGCGGGGCTGGCGGGGCGGGCGGCGCGCGGGGAGGGAGGCAGGGGAGGGGGGGGGTGTGCGTGTGTGGTTCTGTGTGCAGAGAGGGGGGCAGGGAGAGAGAGAGGGCGAGCGGCGGCGAGAGCGCGCGCGCGCCCGCGGCCCCTTCCCTTGCCGGCCCCCCCACCCCCGCCCGCCCAACAGGGAGCCCGACACCTCCCTCCGCCCGCCCCCCCTGGCATCCCGGCCGCTGGGCGCGGCGGCGCGCATGCGCAGCCCTCGGGGCCGGCCCTGGCGCACCTTTTCTCCCTCCTGCCACATTGTGAGCGCTTCGCCTCCCACACGACCGCCGACTCCCGCTCCACCCCCGCCTCCCCTACTCCGCCCACTGCCGAGCGCCCAGGTAAAGGCGTGGAGTGCGCGTGCGCGCCGCTCTCCTTGGGTCTGGGGGCGTGGCTGCTGAAAGGAAGCCGAAATGTAGAGTAGGAGGGAGCTTCGGGCTGGAGAGTGGGGGCGTTCCACGAAGTAGAGAGCGGGTTAAGATTAGGGAAAGTGAAGTTCAGAAAGGGGGCCAAGGTAGAAAAGTAGGTCCAAGCGAGATTTAGTAGAAGTCAAGGAGGTTTTTTGGTTTATAAAGTAAACAAACAAAAAACAACTTAACTCTGGCCCCCTTGTTACTGAAGGGCGGTGTGGGTGACAGAAGACAAAAAATACAGAATGTAAGCGGTAGTGGGTTATTTGTCTGATGAATGGGACAGCTAATAAAAACGAGAAATTTAGAGATCGCCCAGACTTGTCAGAAGAACAAATTTAGAACCCTGCTTGTCCTGCTGCCAGAAATAGGGAAGGGGATTGTGTATGTGTGTGTGTGTGTGTGTGTGTGTGTGTGTGTGTGCAGGCGCGCGCGCGTGTGCGCGATTGTGCTTGAGATATGGAGCTGCCGAAAGAAAGGAAGCCTCCATTTAAGCATTACAGCATCATGACTAATTAGCTATTAATCATTAATATAATTAATGGTACTATTAGCTAACAAGGTAGCATTTATCCAAGTTCATCGCCAAGAGAAGCTGTCCATAATTGAAAGCGCTTGGAGTACAGGGAGGGGAAATGAACCAGGCAAAGTAAAGGCCTCCAGTGGAGTAGAACCAAGTCATGACCTTTCCCACCGTAAACCAAAGTTCCCTGCTATTTTCCAAATTTTATCTTAATTGGAATGCTTTATTATTCTTACACTACACTTAATAAATGTTCTTGCACTAAATCTAAGCTCTCAACATTTTGAATACGTATGCAGCTCCTTCTCCAAAAATTGCACCCCCAAAAATTCCTGTGGGGAATAAAATGACCCAAGTCTGGGAAAAGGGAAGAGATTGAAACTTTATAAATAAAAGGGTTCCAGGGCTAACTCTATCCTTGGCTACTTCTCAAAACAGATGCTTCGTTTTTATTACACTTGGACTCCAGGGATCATAATTTAGCAACTTTGGGTCATGTTCTTCAATAGTGAGTGTCTTCAGTGGATAAACGCTAAAAATAATGTCATATTGAAGCAGGTGAGAGAAAATCTTCAAGAAAAACAGGAGGAAACAAGCATATGTAGTAAAAGGAAAAACTTAGATTCAATGTGAGAAAAACCTTGGCATACATGGAGGCCAGTGAGCCTAAAACATTTCACTGAGATGTTTAACTTTGCCTTCTTGAATATTTGTTCCATCCCTTCTCCAATTCTGCCTCTTGAAAGAGGGATATGCATAGTGAGGGCTGAAGAACCAAGTCTCTAGGAGTTTCTACCCACGGGCCAAACCTCTGAAGGGCTCCTAGTCATTGGAATAGTAATATTATCACCTTCCACTTCAAGAGTGCTTTATGGTTTTTGCAGACAGATTATATCCATTATCAGATTTTCCAACAACCCCATGATGCAAGCAGAACGGGTATTATTCCCAATGAAGGCAATTCAAGCCAAGGTGTGTCTACTGGCTCAGCCTAAGTCACCCAGCCCAGTCAACAATGGAGGCAGGCAGGACTCAGTCTTCTGACTCCCAACATGTTGTCCTCTCAAAGGGTTTAACAGGCCTTCTTGGAGAAATGGCTGCGTTCTCCCGTGGAGTGAAAACAAGTAGCCTCACCATGTAAGGGATAATAGTTCTAATATTCAGTTTTACGTATCTCCTTTATTTCATGTTTTTTCCCTCTTCGCTCTCTCCAGGCACTTGGGACTTGACCAGTGTATTTGAAGCGTTGGTGACAGGTACTTTGGAAGGCCTTGGGCCTGGCATGGTGATCCTAGTTCCTCTGCTCCCCCTTAACTCTTCCCCCTTGAGAACCTACCAGAAGAAGTGCTGTCATCATTTTGCTAGTTTCAGGCCTCCGTTCTTCTGCTTGGCAGTCATTACAGGCAATATTTAGCGCTCACATCTGGCCTTATTGGAAAATGAGACTTCTGTCATCCTGGTCTCCTGGCCCTGGATAATTCTTCACTATCTCATTAAGGCCATCAGCCAAAACCAGCAAAACTCCTTTGCCCCCACCCTTTTATTGGCCATGCCATGTAGCTTGTGGAATCTTGGTTCCCCAGGGATTGAACCTGGGCCATGGCAGTGAGAGCCCAGAACCCTAACCATTAGGCCACCAGGGAACTCCCAAACTCCCACCATTTTTTTTTTTAATTTAAAAATTTTAGTAAAAAGTTCTGTATATTTTGACAGCTCTGAAAACCTTACAGATTTAATTTAAACAGCAGCAGAGCCATCTGGCTCCTATAAGGTGACCTGGAGAGCCTGGTACAAGCTCCCGATTCACTGCATTTCTTTGCTCCCCAAGTTTCCAGGGGTGTAGCCCTAGTCAGTACTAGTTCTTTCCACGTGGAGGGGCAGTGGCTGTGGCTCCCTGCCTACTCACGACTAGTGTTACCCCATGTATTGCACCAGACTTGGGGCCAGAGTTCTGTTCGGGGTTTCCTAGGCCCTCATACTTGTGGTGCTGTGACCTTTGTTCAATCGCTCCACCTTTGAGATTTTGTAAGAAGAGGGGATTATATGGCTCTTAGAGCCTTTCAGATGTAATACCTAGGATTCTCCTTTAGAAAAGTTGACTGTGTCCCTTAATACCTTGTAATTCCATTCCTTTCCTAAGAGTTACTATCCAATTTCTCATCTTGAAGCCCTTACTATAGGAAACTTGCCCCTTTTACAGAATGGATACAGTGGTCCTGGACTTCCCTTTGGTAGCCACTTGTTTCTCAAGTGATAATGTCTAGAGACAACCCAGAAAGCTGGACTCTTGGCTTGTCTGCCAAGGGGCTTGTGTGTGTGCACTTGTGTGTATGTGTATATAAGGTCCATGGGCGCTTTCATTCTGTGCCCTCTCAACTAGTGTGCCCACCCCCACTAAAATTCCAATGAAAAGTTAAAACAAATGCCAGAATGCACTAAAGGGTCAGGTATGTGAGTAGAGCTCTTTTGCTTTGGGGACAAAGATGAGCGAGGCTCTTGAGGCTATTGGCCACTTTGATCTCAGCTGATTTAGCTGCAGCATGGTCTGGGACCATCATCTGGTTCAGAGCTTCATACAGCTGTGGTCTCTACACATCAGCTTCTCCAACTGAAACATCTCAGAGTTTGGGTCATAGTTACTCTGGTGTCCTTATCATCAAAAGGCATTATATATATATATATTTAGTTATACTAGTTTATTGCTATCAATCCATCTCCCTCCACCCTCATGCTCAGTCATGTAACCCCATGGACTCCAGCCTGTCAGGCTCCTCTGTCCATGGACTTTTCCAGGCAAGAATACTGGAGTGGGTTGCCATTTCTTTCTCCATATAATTTTTTTAAAAAGCACACTTATGTGACAACTTCTACAAATCTTTCTTTTACAATATTTCACTTAGTTCTTCCCTCAACACCGGAAGGTAGGAAGGGCAGAAAATGTTTGTTTCTGCTAATTTTTTCAAAACAATATATTAAAAACAAGGTCCAGATTTTAAGGGTAACATGGCCAGAATGAAATCCTGGGTCTCTAGGGCCCAAGTCCAGGACTTGTCTGTGATACTGTACTGCAACCCTTTTCTGGACACCATACAAAGCAAATGGAACACATGTGGTCTCTGCTCTCTGGAAGTTTGGACTCAAATGGCCAGCCACAATTCTGGCAAACATAAAAGGACAAAAAGACTCACAGGCGACTCACATATGCCAATAAAGATGAGTTAAATAGATAAGGAAAGCCAGGTTTACCTGGCCTTCTCATGTGTTTGTTTGTTTGTTTGTTTGTTTAATTCCAGTTGGGTAGAAAGGAAAATGTTAATGAGGCTAAGGTTTTAGGCCAGTCCCATCTGCCTACTTGCTTTGCACATGGAAAACTGTTTGTGGATGTACTGCATGCTCTTTCCCCTTTCTGTCTTCAGCATTCTATGAACCTTCCAAGTGTCTGTCATGCAAGGTGGGAGTCAAGGACCATTAAGAAATTACCTCTACCCTCAAGCAACATCTGTGACCGTTTTCCTAATCCAAACCACTGTGAAAGCATTAGTTAAGCCTGTGTCTACCATCTCTATGGATGGAAGGACAGATTAACTTAGTCCCCATCCTGTTGTGTGAGGGCCTCAGATTCATCTTTATCCACGCAAGATGGCCAATTAGGACAGTAGAGAGGTGGGCTTTGGAATTTGAGAGAGGTTGTTACTGCCCTAGAGAAACCACCTGAGTTTCCTGACTATTTAAGCAAAGGCCAAGAGGAACCCTGGGGTTAGGGAGCGTGGGTGGCCCAGGGCAGGGACCTACAACTAGAGAACATCTTCCCTTCCTAAGGGGACTACTGCAGCTCGATTCCTCTCCTGGGGGTTCTGCCTCAAGGACCATGTACAGCTGAGTGATCTAAGGCAGTTAGGCTCGAACTGTGTTTGAGTTGTTTAAGAGGCTCACAGCTTCTTTAGGCAGCAGACTTAATTGTTGTGTGTAATTGATGTGACATGTGCCCCAGAGGCATGCACTGAGGTCCAAATGAAGAGATGATTTTTCAAAAATTGGAAGTAATTAATTAAAGAAGACAGCTGCACGGGGCTGTGAGTTAGTGCCAAACTCTGTAACCCTAAACCAGCCAACCCACCCAACCGGCCTCGCCACCTGAGGAACAATCCTGCAGGTCTCACGAGGGTGGGATGCAAGACCTGGGATGCAGTGTAGGACGTGGGGAATGCAAGGGTGAAGGACAGGGCTCAGGGAACCCCCTCTTAACTTTCGTGATCCTCAAAAGCATTGGCTCTGGAGAGCAGTTTGGGAGTCAAAAGAAATGTGTTGGGGTGCTAGAAAACTGCAGGAAAGGGGAGGCAAGGTCAAGAGAGGTGTGTGAGATTACATGGGGGAGAGGTGGCAAAGGGGATGTGGGTGTCTGGAGCTGGGAGCAGCGGGAGCTGGAGTGTTTGCGGGACTGAAGAATGATGGGGTCCCTCCGATAGGGCCTGGGAAGATCTGCCAGGTTGCAAGGACCCTGAAGGCGGAGTTCCGAGGAGGTGGAGCCTGGATGTGGGCGCAGGAACACCGTGCCTGGGGCCTCAGGCCGTCAGAAGAGGTATTCATTAAACCCCTGACCTGAGGTCACTGAGAGAGCTGTGGCAGCTTTTCACAGGAGCTGGGTTAAGAACAACAATAACAAAAATAATAACAACAATTAACGATAATGAGGCCTTATCTGCAGCAAGTTGTTCCTAGAGCTTTGTAGGCATTAAGTCATTAATTCCTCTGGCCCCTCAGGGCCACTTTTTTAGAAGTAATGGAGGTGCTAGAGAACACAGTTAATCCTGTGTGGTTAGGCCTCCTGCCGTCTGCTGGGTGGGTCAGTTCACATCCCGAGGGGGTAAAATTCCTTCCTGTTTCATACAGTGTTATAACCTTTTGTATTTACTTAGAGTTTCTGAAATGATGCTGAAATGGGGGTGAGTACAGAAAGGTAGAAACCAGTCATCACAACATGTCTAAACAACTTGGATGTGAAAACTCAAGTCCCACCTGACGGCACCAGGCTGAACAATATTCTGCAGTGGAGAGTGGCTGCAGATTACCAGGGAGCGACCTGGAAGTGATCAGCTGCTTGAAGTCCTAACTGGTGGCAGGGCTGAGCCTCAGCCTGCACACAAGGTAAGTTGGAAGATTTCAGGTGTTAACCCCCCCACTCCCCGCCACAGACGGAAGTTTAGAGGACTCAAGGTGAATAAAAAAAGGAGGGTCATTCTAGATTGGAGGAGTTACATGGGATGGAGCCTGAGAGCCAAAGCTTGAGCAAACCTAGTGTCAACAGTGACTAGCCTTGCAGATTTCAGCTATTCTTTCATTTATGTGTTTCATATAACAGTGACTGCGAATTATACACACCCAATCCAGAGACAGACTCTCACTTACATCCCATAGATGGTGAGAGTCATCATCATTATCCTAGTCCAGATCAAAGACAGCAATATAGTCTTATTAGCAGTATAATCTCAATATACTTAAGCAAAATGGGTGTCCTCGTCATCCTTGGGTTCTGGAACAGCAGGGATAATCCTCCCCATTAATCTAGAGGGCAGGTGCAACACGGAACAGGAACTGAGCTTCTCTGAATCTCAGAGTTGGGCGGAAGAAGAAACTGTATCACAGCTATCACCATTCATATCAGAGAAATAAGAGGGACCAGTCCTCACTATTTGGACCCTTGCCATCCCTCTGGAAACAGTCTTCCCTCTTTTCCCTGTGTTAGTACAGAGAATGTCTACCTGCAGAAGGTACGAGAAGTTTCAGGGCTTGAATACCAATCTCGTTTGTAGATTACATCAAAGAACATAAAGTGTTATATGATGAATTTAGGGAACAGAGTATTCTGGTTAAGCAAATAATCTGGTTTTTAAAGTATTACTAAACATATAGCAACATTTGAGACATACTAAAATCATTCTTTGTTTATATAAAAATTCAGGTTTAACTGGGTGTCCTGTATTTTATCCATTTGCAGGTAAACTTCTATGCAATCCAAAACTACTCCTTTAGAGTTCCGTAAAGAAAAAAAGCAACAGAAAGGAGAGTTTTTTTTTTTTTTTTAATAGCTTCAGGTTCATTGGTACCAGAAAATGGGGACAGAGAAGATAGGGAAGAAGAGGCCCCAAACCAGTTGTCCATCAACTCAGAAGCACACTCATGGTCACACGGGGTATGTGGCTGAGATATCGCCAGGTCTTTCACTGGCTCCGTGTCAAATCAAACACTTGTTCCCAGGGATCTCAGGGAAGAACTTAAGACAAAGCATCACCTACACTCTATATTACCCAACACAGATGGAACCCCACCTAAGGATAGGAACTTCTATTGCAACTTCTAGGATTGGTGCAACTTCTATTGCTCATTTCATTTTGCCAGCAGACAGGAAGAAGGTGAGAGCTCCACTGAGCAACGTGTTGCCATTCAGAGGGCCTGCGTGATTCCTCTGTGCCATAGAATCCCCTGCAGCTTGGAGACCTCCTTCCTATCGTGTTGATGGTCTTGTGGAAGCTACGTTCTGCTCTACAAGGCATTGACTGCAGCCTTTTTCCTGGCCAGATTGCTGTTCTTAGCATGTACTGAGCACCAAGATGTCCCCAGCTTATTGAGTGCGTTCCACTGTCCTAAGTGTTGCACCTCTGTTAGTCTGCAGAATCCTTCCGACTATACCTTTTGAGGTAGGTATTCTCATTTCATAGATGAGGAAACAAAGACAGAGAGAAATGAAGTAGGAAGTGATATCAGTTCAGTTCAGTTCAGTCGCTCAGTCGTGTCCGACTCTTTGCGACCCCATGAATTGCAGCACGCCAGGCCTCCCTGTCCATCACAAACTCCCGGAGTTTTCTCAAACTCATGCCCGTCGAGTCGGTGATGCCATCCAGCCATCTCATCCTCTGTTGTCGCCTTCTCCTCCTGCCCCCCATTCCTCCCAGCATCAAGTGACATAAGGTCACATAAATCTTACATGATGGAGTCAGGATTGAATCCAGGCGGTCAGACTCCTACAGCTGCTCTTTGAACCATGGTGCTGTACCACCCAACACTCCAATTACCTCACGCTTCTGCTCAGAATTCTGGAATGGCTCCTGTGATAAGCAGAATAATAGCCTTCTAAGTATGTCCACATCCTAAACCTGGATGCTGTGAATATATTACCTTATGTTGGTAAAAGGGACTTTGCAGATGGGATTAAGTTAAGGATCTTGAAATGTGGACCTTAACCTGGATTATCCAGTGAAAGAAAGAAAGAAAGAAAGTGAAGTCACTCAGTTGTGTTTGACTCTTTGCGACCCCATGGACCCCATGGGATTTCCCAGGCAAAAATACTCAAGTGGGTTGCCATTTCCTTCTCCAGAGGATCTTCCCGACCCAGGGATTGAACCTGGGTCTTCCGCATTGCTGGTATACTCTTTACCGTCTGCCAGGGAAGCCCCATTAATCCAGTGGGTCCATTAGAGTCAGAGGAGAAATGACCCGGAAGCGGAGGTCAGAATGTTGTGATCACTGGCTTTGAAGATGGGAGAGGGACAAGGAATGTTGGCAGCTTCTAGAAACTAGAATAAGCAAAGAGCTGACTTTCCTGGAGCCCCCAGAAGGAACACAGTCTGCTGACACCTTGACTTTGGCCCAGTGAAGCTCTTGACCTCCAGAACTGTTAGATAATAAATCTGTGTGGTTTTATGCTGCCAAGTTTGTGGTAATTTGTTACAGCAGCAGTAGGAAACTAATTCAGCTTCCATTGCTTAAGGGGAAATCTGAACTGCTTTGCAGGGCATTCAAGGGCCTCATGCTATCTTCCCCTCGTCTGACTGCCTGGCTAGCTTATACCCACCCCACCCCTGTGCCACCCTCACCATTCTTTACAGATTGAATTGCTTCATGATCTTCAACAGCCATACCCTTCCTTATGCCTTTGCCTGGAACACTCTCTCCTCACTTGTTTGTCTGGCAAACTCCTCACACTTTATGTCTCAGCTATTATAAAACAATACCTCCTCTGTGAAGCTTATCCTACTTCCCCCAAAGGAACATAGGACTCCTTTCCTGTATCTCATGCCTCTGTTGTTTTTCATGTTCACTCCCATTAAAGCAGATTGTAAGAACTCGTCTGTTCCCTTCCTGGGTTATGAGCTATTTGAGGGCAAGGACCTCTCTTTTCAGCTTTGATCTCCCTTAGCACCTAGCATGGTCCCCAGCACATCAAAGAAAGGTCCCCAGAGAACAGAACTCATATCTTGACCTGTGCCCACACCCGTGATGCAGCCCCTCCAACCCCATTTCACCAGTAACAAGCGTTTCAGGATGTCATCCCTTCCCTTCCCCGGTGAGAAATAATGACAAAGAAAATCAGACATGGAAGTGTTTCAAGTTTTCTTTTAAAAGTAGCACTCATAAAAGTTTTGTGATATTCCAGCTGTACCTACAGTAGAAAATGCTTCCTGTCCAAGTCTTGATTTTTTCAGCTGAGAAATGGATCAGAGACATAGAGCTGTGGCCACTTTGCATCCTATTGTATCCCCCGCATCTACCCTGCTCTTGACTTGGGTGAATCCTCTGATGTTGGTTGGTAAAGGTCTTGGGAGAGGTTTTTCCACATTCTTCGGATTCATCACTTCTCTCTGATGTGCACGCCAAGGCTGGGTCTCTTGAGCGAAGGTTTCCCCACGTCACGTTCTGTGTAACTGAGTTCCAGAACACTGAGTCAGATGAGCCTTCCAAGCCTCCAGACTCACCCGAGGGCTCTCCCCCAGACGCATCAGATACGGGGCTTCTCTCCAGTAGGAATTCTCTGATGTGTAAAATGGTTGACAACGCCACCCAAATGAAGGCTTATTCACTTTTATTGTTTTTATTTTCCCGTGTGAATTCTCTGATGTTTAATGAGAAGTAAAGGGCAAGTGGAGGTCTCAATAAAGGCCTATTAGATACCCAGCTCTGGGCTGAGGTACTCGAAAATGTAAGGAATGTAGCCAGGACATGGAAGCAACCTAGATGTCCATCAGCAGACGAATGGATAAGGAAGCTGTGGTACATATACACCATGGAATATTACTCAGCCATTAAAAAGAATTCATTTGAATGAGTTCTAATGAGATGGATGAAACTGGAGCCCATTATACAGAGTGAAGTAAGCCAGAAAGATAAAGACCAATATAGTATACTAACTATATATGGAATTTAGAAAGATGGTAACAATAACCCTATATGCAAAACAGAAAAAGAGACACAGATGTACAGAACAGAATTTTGGACTCTGTGGGAGAAGGCGAGGATGGGATGTTTCGAGAGAACAGCATCGAAACATGTATATTATCAAGGGTGAAACAGATCACCAGCCCAGGTTGGATGCATGAGACAAGTGCTCGGGCCTGGTGCACTGGGAAGACCCAGTGGAGAGGGAGGTGGGAGGGGGGATCGGGATGGGAAATACATGTAAATCCATGACTGATTCATGTCAATGTATGGCAAAAACCACTACAATATTGTAAAGTAATTAGCCTCCAACTAATAAAAATAAATGGAGAAAATAAATAAAACATAAGGAATGGCCCCTGCCCTCTAGACGTTTCCAACCTGGTTGGAGAAAGAAGACTTGTACGCAAACAGCTGGGGAGCACCAGACACTGTGTAGTCCTCCCAAGCGATTCAGGGAAAGGAGTGGACAGCCAGAGATTGACTGGATGGGAAAGGTGTGTGAAAGAGGTCAGCCTTTAGCTTGACCTGAAAAGATGGTAGAATTGAGGCTGGAAGAGAGGAAGAAGGTGTTTCCATTGAAAGAGAAACAAAAGGAAGGATGGAAATAAAGAAGGAGGGGCGGCAGGAAAGATGGAGGGAAAGAAACTTTCTAATGTAGGGATTCGCCTGTTGATTTAGGAAACCCCCACAGACTCAGGGCAGCGGACTTTGAAAGTTTTCTTCTGATGCTTTTCTTGTTTTAGCACTGACGCCACTTTCACTTCTGCAAGGCACATCTAAAAAGAACTCTATTGCTGCCTTGCACAGGCCAGCCCCACCCCACCCACCACCTCCACAACATTCTTAGGGCCCACTCCAGTTCCACAACCAGATGATAGAGGCACCAAATGGGGAGACCCCCACCCACGAGAAGCCCCGGGGAAGCACCCAGTAGGCTTATATTCAAGAATATGGGAGCTCTCTGCCCCCACCCTCTTACCCCACCATCACGTCCTCTAAAAAAGTTTCTGCACAGGATCCTGACCTTTACAGAGAATGACGGTCATCAGCTCTGAAACCCTTTTACTTTTGTCAGTTTTATAGATGTTTTCTGAAAACATTAGGAGTAGGGATACTTCATAACTTTTCCTTATTTTCCCCATTCCACAGAGAGCAGTGGACAAGCAAGCCGAGTGGAATATGCAGTGTCTCATCTTGGTTAAATTGTTGGAGGACTTTTCTGCCAATTATAGTGGTTAAGCACTGACTCAACGTCCAACAACTGCATAAGAGCTTGGAGCCTTCATTCATGGACAAGTTTCAAAATGAAGCAGCGTCACCACCTCTCATGGGCGATGTAGTCAGAGGACAGAGGAGAGTGAATTTCACCCTTAACAACGTGGCTGCTTTCTGGAGAAGTGGCAGGATCTGGTATTTCCCAGCACGGTGAAATTGGGAAGTGCCTTTTGCAGCCCTTCTCACTTTCATGGTTTGTTTGGACATGGAATTCTTAAGCTCTTAATTCTGTCCCTACTTCCTGTGTCACTTCCCTAGGAGACTGAATTCAAGGAGGGCGGGACCTCCTCCCCAGGGGAGGGGGGAGAACAGAATGGGGACTGATGCCTTTGGGCTCTTAACATGTAGACATCCTGTTGGCACATTCTCCACTGCTCCCCAGCAAAGCACACTCTGCTCTGTGAATAATCCAGGCAGGAAGTAAAAGTGATCTGTGCAGCCACAGTGGAAATGCCCAGACTCTCAGGAACCCCAGATGGTCATCCAGTCTGATCACACATCCCATTCTGTTTTCATTATTAGTGTCTGTCCTGTCTGTTCATGGGCTCCCCCAGGACAGGAGGCATATCTGCCCTAGTCATCATCAGAGCCATCTTACTACATCACAGTGCCTGGTACAGAGTGACTGTTAGTAAATATTTGTTGGATAAATCAACTATAAACATGGAAGTGGTTCCCTTAAAGAGCTCTTTGCTCTTTCTCAGCTACTGAGTTAGAAGACGAGTGAGCTGGTGGTGAGAAGGGACACCGTTGGGTTATAATAAAAGGAGCTAGAAATGTGTGGGAGGGCTCCTAAATGTTCCAGTTGTATCTACTAAGCAACGGGGAACCTCTGCAAGTTCTTTAGGTCACCAACAGGAGATGGCGAGCTGGTGGGGGCTGTGTTGTCATTGTTCAGTTGCCCGGTCGTGCCTGACTCTTTGCAAACCCATGGAGTGTAGCATGCCAGGCCTCCCTGTCCTTCACCATCTCCTGAAGTTTACCCAAGTTCATGTCCGTTACATCAGTGATGCCATCCAGCCATCTCATCCTCTGACACCCTCTTCTTCTTCCGCCCTCAATCTTTCCCAACCGTAGGTGACCCCTGGGAGTGGGGACTTTGCAGGCTGTATTTGATCTGGAAGAGGGTAGGGTCACCTGAAGAACAAGTACATCTTCTTGAAGAAGTCTAACCATAGTTGTAAGCTCCAGAGATGACTTTTGTGACTGAAGGGTGAACATTTTAGCTAGGTGAGTGTCAAGAAAGTGGTAGGAATTCTAGTGAGCCTTGATCCTGAGTGAATTCAGAGCTGGTGTTGGGAACAGAAGCAAGCAAGTGCAGTCATGGTCAAAAATGGCCAACGAGGAAGATGCCTCGGGACTCAGCCCAGGATCCTGGTATTGCACTACGTGGAGTGGGGGGTGAAACCAAGTGGGAAGATTTGTCTTTATTCTGAAGGCAGAGGCCATGGCTTAAGGATCAAACCCACGGCTCAGAGCAGAGCACCGGACACATCATAGCTGCTTAATACATGCTTGATAATGAATGAAATGGGCTTCCGAGTGGCTCAGTGGTAAAGAATCTGCCTGCCAACCTGCAGTAGACGCGGGTTCAACCCCCAGGTCGGGAAGGTCCCCTGGAGAAGGGCATGGCAACCCACACCGGTATCCTTGCTTGGAGAATCCCGTGGACAGAGGAGCCTGGCAGGCTGTAGTTCATGGGATCGCCAAGAGTCAGACAAGACGGCACACAATGAGTGCTTGGGTAGTTGGCTGGCTCTGGGAGTCACTGAGAATGCAAGAGCTCGTGGAGGCCTACGCAGCTGTGTTTACCATCCTCTCTTCGTCCTTCTCAGCCTGCCCTCTGGGGTCCCACCTCTGCATTAAGCCAGAAGACGTTCCCAAAGCTCACCGCTCCCTCAGTGGACAGCACCAGCTGGGTCTCAGCCTCAACTGATCAGGCCATTCCCTCCCTTCTCCTGGGGGCTCCCACTGCCAATAAGATCCCACTCAGCCCCCCACCCAGTCATCAGATTGTTGTTCACATCTTGTGCTCTTCGATCTCCTCTGGGCAGGCAGGGACATGCCACTGCTAGAAGCCTGGCCTTAACGAACACGTGTGTGTATGCACACACGCCCCTCTCCCTGTCTCAGAGCCTCGTCTGGCCCTCCGCCCCTGGCCTGGCCCATCTTTATGAGACTCGGGCTCTTCCTCTCCAGGTGCTGAATGTAGTGTCTGATTCGAGAGAACCAGGCATTTTGCAGGTCTGCATCTGTGGCCTTGGCCTCCCTCAGGGGCTTGGGTTGATCCACCCATAAGGAGGGACCTTCCAGAGAGACGCCAAACCAGGAGTCTGACCTCATGACGCCTGCAGCGCCTGGAAAGGAGGGTACCAACTCTGCTGTCCTGGCCCAGACCCAGTTCTCTCTTCTGGCATCCACACCTTCACCTTCCCTGGCTCCCCTCCAGGCCGACAGGACCTGCCCCATCTTGGGAAGGATAAGCCTGGTCTGGTGAGTAGGAGGAGAGTGAGGACCCCCAGCATCTTGGTCAAATCATTCCCTGGCTCCGTGCCTCAGTTTCCCCCCTGAGAAAGTCTGCCCCTGGTTTCAGGGTTAGGGAGTTAGTTCCCTGGTCTCACTTGGGAAGAAACCCAAACTAGTGTTGTGTTCCCTAGCAGCCAAGACCTGCCCGCCCCGCCCTGCCCCAGGAGGCCTTGCTAGCTGGTGACGCCAGGCCAGCAAGGCAGGGTCCTGCAGGATGAAAGCTCAGAGAAGCCAGAGCAGGAATAATAATGATAATCATCAGCTGTGGCGTCTCAACCACCCGGGAATGCAAGGCCCACGCCCTGTGCTCCCCACACCCCGAGACACTCTGAGGGCTCCTCTCCCTTCATTTTATTGCAGTGATCCCAACACTCAGCCATTCCCAGCCCAACCTATTTGGGTTCCCAAGGACTGCAGTCCAGCTACCCGCTCACTCAAGCCCCATGGGAAGAGTGAGCTCGACAAGACCCACTTGTCGAAGGTAGGATGCCCGGCTCCTTGGAGACTCAGGCTTCTGGGTTTCCCAGAGAAGCATCTGGCCATCCCTGGCCTGAAGCACTTTCCCACAGACCCATTTCTGTCTGATTAGCATCAGGTCTAGGAGCTTTGCCTGTGTCAATATAAATTTGCATTCAAGTCCTGGCTGGGCCACAGATGAACTCACCATAGGACCCTGGGCGAGTTTTGTTTTGATTTCAACATTTTGTGTCCACTACCTCACCTGCCCCTTGCTCACTGCAGACAAACTGAATCTTGTAGTCCAACATGTGGCTGTTGAAAATCTGGCTTTAAATCACTTTTCCAACCCCACTGTTCATTCTCTAGATGCCAGCCAGAGGTGACTCCTCACTGCTGGTCATGCATATCCCATGCCTTCCCATTCCAGAACTTCTGTCCTTCTTTGGGAATGTCATTTGCTCTGTTTCTACCTTGTCAGGACTTCCTAGCCTCTGAGGTCCAAGCCAGGGACATCACCTCCATGACTGTACCTGACTCCCCACCCACCTTAGAACGCTTGTTCCTCTTTGTCTGAGCCTCAAGCCCCTGGGTCTCCCCTGTACCATGGTTTGTGCAGATCCCAATTTGCTCACTGAATCATTGGTGTGCTGGAGTCTCCATCTCTGGGTCCTCCTGGTGCCTTGTATATCACCCTGCATACACAACACGTGCTTGGTAAGTGTGTTGGGCATAAATTGTGGGAAATAATCATCCCCACCCTATTAATTTCCCCACAGAAATGTGCTTTGAAAAAGTAAAAGTAGTTATTTTGACATAAAATTGTATGCATGTTTGTTCTCCCCAGCTTCCTCGGGGGCAGTGGGATGCAGGTACCCAAGTGGCGGGGGAAGGCATTAGCTCCCTGGTGTTGGGCCAATAGGTGGAAGGCTTTCCTTAACCAGTCTGGTCCAGTCTGGTCTTGGATTCTGGCTCAAAGGAGATGAGCACTTCCCTCCTCAGAGAATAGCAATCCCATCCCTTTGGGGCTTCTAAACCTTAGCAGCCTCTATGCCCCATGGGACTCATCCACCAGCAGGACTCCTAGATTCAAGTGTTGTAAAGAGATGAGTGGTTGGATGTGTTTAGAACCCTCTCAGCTGGATCCTTATGAGAACGCCTTGGAGCAGCGTTCACTGCTGCTGCCTGCTTAGTGTTGTGAATAATATCAATAGTAACATAACTTCGGCAACGCCTTGTATTTACTTAATGCTTTTCTCCAGGGAGCTCAACTAATCTTTCCCTCATCTCCAGAAGGAAGAGAAGGACCAAGGCGATGAAAAAGTGAACCATTGGGGCCACACTTTGAGTACAAGCATCCTTTGTTCTAAGAGGTAAATGTAAGATGTAGCATTTCAGATGTGTAGAACTGATAAAGTAGGAAACCTGTTCATGTCCTGGGACCTGGAACCTATGACTTAAGCATTTTCTCCCAAATCAAAGCCTGTGTGAGATGACAGCTCTCATAGTGAGAAGTTACATCTCATCAGTAATAAATTTTGAGAACGCACCCTTAACATAAGTTCAGTCACTTACAAATCATACGCATGACCCAGTATCATTATATTTCAAGACACAAAATACTTGGGTGAGGTCTGTTTTTAACAATGGTAGGAAGTGTAATTCACATTTCAAACAGTGACCTTGATAATTACAAATTATAAAGCAAGTTCGGTGGCCGTCATTGTGTTAGACCTGACCAGATTGTCCCTGTGTTACCCTCTGGATGGGGCTGACCAAGAGCTCCTGTGAGAAGCACCAGTGCTGCCACTTTCTTGTGTGCTAGCGCTTGCTGAGTTACAGAAATCTTTAACCTGCAGCGCCTTTGCAGGAGTCATTTTAATTCCCATGTCCATTTTGTGAAGTTGATTTAGTTCAAGTTGGATAATATAATCCATAACATCATTTAACCAGGCAATGGAAACTGTGATATTAATACTTTGTGGTTTT